GTCCTTTCCAACCCTAAATAATCTATGATTCTATGCAAATACTTCAAAGAGATCTCAGAATAAAAACTTTACTGCTTTGGTGTAAACAGACAGAGAAGCATAAGTGAAGAACCAAATGTATAACCAGGAGTCAGTCACACAACATTCACGAGGTGGTGGTACCACCTCCCTGGCTGCGTTAAAACTTTCAGGTAAGGGCATGCCTGTTGCCTAAGTCTCATTGCTGCATGTTAGTCCCTCCTGCAGAAGACCAAGGCAGATTTGTCCTTGACTGTGTTAAATGCAAGAATGTCAGGCATTGGAACAGGCTGCCCAGGGCAGTGGTGGAATCACCATCCCTGGAAGTGTTCAAAAATCATGTAGATGAGGCCCTCAGTAACATGGTTTACTGGTGGACTTGGCAGTGCTGGGGTAATGGTCGGACTTGATGATCTTAAAGGTGTTTTCCAACCTAGCTGATTCAGTGATTCTGTGAGTAAAGGAGCATTAACCTGTCAAGGCACTATTCTACAGCTGCTTTATTTGAACAACAAAATGAAAAAATTGGTCAGTCTGATCAGAAAGATGACAAAAGATCTTTCCAAAAGCATCAAACATTATCTTCCTTTGCAATTATTTGCAATATCAGTCATTTCCTTGCCCTATTTTTCTCCAACCAAAGGCACTGGGGCTGTTTTAGGCAGAAGAGCTTTTTTATTTCCAAGTCACTCCTGAGAGAAATTTGTCCAGTTCTCACAGGGAAGTTTGGCAGCATCAGCTGCCTGGCCTGGAGGGCTACTGAGTCCTTCTGTATCATCCTTCTATATCATCCACGAGCACCATCTGTATCATCCCAGAGACGCGTATACAGATACATTCTGATCCTGAAATACTTGGCTCCATCGTTAAACTGGCTTATTGTCAGAGAAGTAGGTTCTTAGTGTCTCTTCAAATACGCGATTGAGTTTGTCAGCCCAGTCAGTTCTCCAAGAATGAAAGCTGCAATACAAACAGCCAAATCCTGTTTTCCAGCACACTCTTCATCTTTCCAATCCCAGCACTAGACTCAAGGTGTTTCACAGACTGTAAGATAAAAGCCCGTAGACTGCAATAGGCTCACTCCTTCTTCATTAGACCCACAAATTCCAGTGATCTGGATAATCCCTCAATCAAGAAAGAAGGAAATAAACTTGTGAAATACCAATAGATAGCGATATGCCCATATGAGGCTCCAGGGCAACAGGATAATTGTGTAAATGACTAATTTCTTAAGGTAAAACAAATTGGAGCCCCTAAAGAAAACCAACAGACACTTCCTTCCATTTTTTATTTAAAATTCTGGCAATAAGCACTACTCTGTGTAGCAGGATGCAAGTGGTACTCTTTGCCAAGTTCGATGGACATTTTTATATGCCACGTAATGTAAGGCAGGCACTGGGTATCACAGCTTAGAGAAGAACAAACCTGTGGCCAAGTTGTGCACATCTGATATAGTTTTACACTGCTATGTGTATGTGTAGAGTTTTAAACAACATCCTGATATGCTAGAAAAAAAAAAAAAACCAAACCAAAACAACAACACCCTAACATTTTCATGAAATGGAAAAATCTGCCCCCTGAGCATTTTTGTGTTTTGTTTTCTGTCTGGGTTTTCTTTTTCTTCTGTAATCTCAGGTTTAGTAATTCCAAGAAATTTTGTGTTGTATCAGCACACTGTGGTGGTTCCTCCTGCCAACAGCAAAAGCCACTTGTTTCCTCTGTGCTGAAAATGCTCTTGCCAGTAAAAACTATTTTGGTAAGAAGGGTTTTCTTTTTTTTTGTTTGTGGACTTATTTACTCAGTAACTACAGTTACATTAGTTCAGAAACTTAACAATGGTGTCACTCATTTTACCCCGCTATGAAAGCGATGATAATGGCAAAGTTGCATCAGATTTCTTTTAACAGCTCCTTACAGTGTGATTCATTTGAGAATGAGTCAGGGATTATGAAAGCAAACAAACTCCATTTTATGCACAATTTCTTTTCAGGAAAAAATGTCTGCACATTCAAGCAAATGCTGAAAGCGCCCAACTCAACTGGGAATGTCATCCTCCCACCCACAACACTGGCAGAAGCATATAAGCACTGCAAGTGCCCAGTAGTCAAGTGAAAATCTGATCACAGGAAAATTCACTTATCCTGGAAAACTGTTCATTGATACCAGAAACAATGCCTTCAGGGTGGCAGCGTGGGACCTTGGAAGAAACCAAGTGTGAATTATGCAAATGCTGACTATTTAAAACTGCTTTCTGTGGTCTTTGCATTCAAGGGAGGGTGTGAAATACATGCAAGACCTTGGCTCACTGTACATTAAGGCCTGGACCCACTCTACTGCCAGAATAGTTGGTATCACAGCTCTGATATTTCCTGTCCTTTGCCCATGGAGTTAGAAGCAGGAGGCTCCAGCATATTGTTGCCAGGACTGACAAAGGAACAGTGTTTAGTTCTCACCTCAACAAAAAGCCATTCAAACTCCTGACTTTCAGAAAGGTGTCCTAACTATGAGATAGTAGGAAGAAAACATAAAAAATTGACTCAGCAATTAAGGAAGGGAAAACATGGGCAAGTCTCATTGGGTACTCAGTAAGGAAAGGAGGAAAACCTGTCATTTTCTTGAGTCCTTCATGAGTATTTTAGGGACCTGCTACCTAGTATGACTGTATAATTATGCACGAGAGGGAAGTATGTATCCTTGCCTTACAGTTCCCAAAACCAGAGGAGCCTAGGTGAAGGCACGAGGCACCAGGCTCAAGTTTCTTGCTTCACTCACTTTCTCTGCCCTGTGAAGCCCTCATCACACTCTACAACGTGGAAGTTCTTCTTTGGTAGGAAGAACTTAGTCCTGTTTTGAATGCACATGGGTGAACTCCTGTGGTTCCTTTCACTCTAAAATAATCCTAAGTGAAAGTGTCAGTCCTTACTTCAGATTTCTCTCTGCTAAGCCCAAAGATCTCATAACCTACAGGAAAGTTGACCTGTGCATGGTGGGAGGTGGCATCCTCCCAGCAATCAGCTTCAATCTGGTCTCTCTCACCCAAGACATAAAACTGTGGTGAGAGCCTCCCCGTCCTGCACTTGTGCTGTGCTGGTGTTTCCTGGGACAGGCAGCTGAGCATGCTTTGAGGCCATAAGCTGTACCTGCTGGCAGCTGGAATCTTCTCATCCAGGACAATGCACTGTGCCTCAAGACCACCCCTCAGAAGGAGATACTGCTGGGGGGTCCCTCGAAGAGAACAGCAGGGTTTTGTGGACCATCGGGGTCAAACGCCAGGCTGCAGGAAGTACTACGGTTGGATGACCATTGTTTTCCGAGGCAGCGAGCTCCACATTACCTGCTGAAATTTGTTCTCCCCGTAACCTGTGGGGTTCCCAAACCCGCCTAGACGCGTTCCCATGTAACCTGCTCTAGGTGTCCCTGCCTTGGCAGGGGTTTGGGCTACATGCTCTGCAGAGGTCCCTTCCAACCCGAACGATGCTGTGTGATTTCACGTCAGCTTTCCAACCAGCACAGCTGCAGCTCCCCCTGCTGTACAGCAACTTGCGCTGCCAGCGTTCGCTTGCAGTTGCACCCCACGAACCAGAGCTCCCCTTCGCAACATCACCTCGCCCCCCAGCTCCTCTCTGCTAGCAGCAACCCACCAAGACACCGGAACGGGTCGCAACGTGTGTGAAATACCCTTTGCTGACCTTGGCCCAGTGCCTCCGCAGACGGACTCGGCTCCGCAGACGGACTCAGCTCCTGGGACGAATCGCCTGAGGAAGAGAGAGGAAAAGGGAAGCAAAGGGGGCGAGAGAGAGATGCAGAGGGGAAGAGAGAAGGAAGAAGAGGCAAGGAATAGGGAGAAGAAGGAGAGCGGGGGGAGGAGAGGGCGGGCCGGCAGAGGTATCTCCACCTTTTCTGACGTTTTTATTTGCGCGGTGCCTGCGAGGGTGAGCGGCACTTGTGAGCGAGGGAGCGAAGTGGGAGGAGCGCTTGTGAGTGAGGCAGCTAGCGAGCAGCCGGCCGGACGGCGCGGTCAGATCAGATCAAATCAGACCAGACCAGACCAGACCAGGACAGGACAGGACAGGCCTTGCCTTACACATACCAGACCATGCAGTTGAGGGCGCCACTGCTGATGCGGTTCCTGGTCTTCCTGAGCTTCCTAGGTAAGTCTTGAGGGGAGCGGCGTGGCGTATCCTTCCTGAGCCCTCCGCGGTTTTATCTCCCTACTTCCCTGCCGCCCGGCTCTCCTCACCGAGGTCGGGGCGGGCAGTGACTGTTAGCGGCGCAGGAGCTCTGCGCCCGTTACCGACCGTCCCGGAGCGGCGGCTTCGCAGCTGCGGGGGGCT